AGCAAACTCATAGTATCTAGGTGAAAAATGATTAGGTTTTTATTATTTTGGTTCCTTTATGTCTATAGTGGGGTTCGGGATTCGGTGGTTCGGTATCTATATAGTTGGTTCGGGATTCGAAGTTCAGGGATTCGGTAACTGAGGTTCAGACGTGACCGTGGGTAACAGCTATAACGATAAATCAAGATAGAGAAAAAGTGAGTGAGATATAAGGACAGAGAGAGTTAAAAACTTTGGGCTGACGAGGAGAGATAAAAGAGAATAAATGTGCTGGATGGTCCCAACACTGGACAGGAGCCAGGAGAGGGGGCCGAGTTGTACCCGGGGAGGCGAAGGGGGGCTGAGTGGTACCTGGGGAGGAGAGGGGAAAGATGAGGGGATTATGGCTCACAGGTCTGGTTATGAACAAGGATTAAGAGAGGGGAAAAATAAAGAGGGTGAGGGAAGGAGGCGAAGGATAAAAACACACAAGGAGAAAAAATGACCAGGGGGAAGATAAAGGAGGAGAGAGAGAGAGAGAGACATAATGATGAAGGAAGGAAAGAAGGAAGGAAGGAAGGTGGTAGTATTAACGTTATAAGTTGATAAGTAATGTGTGTGGATGAGAAGCTTACTGGAGTGTTTAACAACTCTCAACTCTCCGTGTTGTAGTGTCAAACCAGTGTATCTACCAACACAAAAACACGAGACAGAGTGACTGACAAAAAGTGGGTCCCAGAGGTTTGGTTATACCCGTTAGGGGCAGTGTGGATACAGCACAGTGTGGACTCAGCCTTCGGTACACAAGGAGGCAGCGTGGCCGACACTGCACTCGACCACCTCCACTTCAACTACTTGTAAAATTAGGTACCCATTTACAGCTGGGTGGATAGGGGGTATTCGGAGATCGCACGAGTGACCCATAGGACAGAGAGTTGTGTATCTACTCGGCCACTGCACCCGAGTAAGATAAGACTAACACGGGGACTGGCATGTAAAACTTGTTAACTCGTAGAATAATCTCTAGGCGAATGTTGTGAGAACACCAATCGTGGCCCAGCTCTGCTACCCACTCAGATTTATTCAGGAGTTTGTCCCTGTCCAGACTCTCTTCGGCGAGAACTGGAGGACACAGCGACTGGCTATTATGTTATGAGAACTAGAAGTGCTTACTGGTCACAGACTATAAAAACCCCTCACCTTCAGGTCAATAAATGCCCTTCACCTTTTACCTTAAACTACCTATTCATGAACAGGTTCCTTGTACAACAAATGTCCCGCCTGTTAGATATGGTTCCACAGTACAAGGTATAACTATACGTATCACTTGAACATCAATCTTCTATTTCAACATCAATCTTCTATTTCTCTAAAAGGCGACCGTGACTTATGTCTCAGATCATCATACGGAAACCATCTCTCCCATGGACAGACAGACACACACAGACAGAACACACACACACAGACTAACATACAGACAGATACAAACATGATCTATATTCAGTAGGCCTATGCACCTCACATTATAAATATTAACTTTGGAAACTGTTGGGAAGTTTGCTGAGTTCTCCAAATACTTTACCTCAACATTATGGACGGCCCTGTGAGTCAGTCTTGGTAGTTTGGTGGCAAATTGGTCTTTTAAGTTGTAATATGTTTTTGGTTTTGTCATTAGTATTTTTTTTTTAAGATATCTAGTTGAACCTTAATAATCTTTCTTACATTAGGTCAAATCAGGTCGTGCTAGGTAAGGCGAGGTCTGCTGATAACCACCTAAGAAAAAAGAAAACACGAAATTCCCAAGAGCTTTCGTATAATTCACATATATACAACAACAGTGTATATTTTTCTCTCGTATATTCACACGTCAGTTCACCCCCGTACCAGTATACAGCCATACATCACGGACGCCGCCCAGGGTTTTATCATTGAGAGACCAGCAGCCGAGGGTACCGGAGTGACCACGGCTTACCACTACGGTAGATCCCAGCTGGACGGTGAAGTATCTGTCATGCGATAGTTATGGCTTTTACCTGGGCTGTGGTGGCTGCTGGCTTGGCCGAATAGTATCTGACTCGACACGGTGGTGTTGATGACGTGAGATCGAACCCAGGAGGTCTAGCTGCAGTATATACACTCACAATAATGTTCAAGTATTTATTCATCATAAGTAAATTGCTTACTCTGAGGTCCTCGTGAAAACCTTACTGTTTACACCACCAACAGGCATACAACAACTTATTACCCCAAGTGCTTCCCCTCAGTCGGCAAGTATTATAATTTCTAAACAGCTGGGTCAGTTATGCATGCATTTGTATACATTATTTTCTCCACCAACTTGAAGCATAAATGAATATAAATTGAGTGGTTATGAAATATATATTGAAGTGGTGAATTTGAAGTATATGCTAGAACGAACAGAGTAATAAAGGAAATAAGGGAGTCACTCACCTGTGTAGGAGGGGCAGGTATAGTGCTGACGGCTGTACTCACTGCCTTAGTACATCATCCAACACAACCTGCAACACAACAGACTTTGATACTTACAACACCTCATGCTAACCTTCCTTCACCAAACTTACATTGAAAGAGAAAAACTTTTATTCTTATCAAGACATTAAATTAAAAGTTTCTCAAGTGTTATTCATACTGTCCAAACTACCATACGTGTTATTGCAATCAACTCTACAGCTTTAATTATTCTTCTGGTGTGTATTGATTATTTTTTTTAACAAGGAGGAGGAGAGTGGGTTAAACCATGGTTCTCAAAATGTTAAACCAGCATCCTCAAAGGGTAAAGGCAATTTCTTCAGTGAGTTAAACCATTGTGCTCAAAGGGTTAAATCAATTCCTATAGTGGGTTAAACTATCATCCCCGAAGAATTAAACCATCATTCTCCAAAACATTTAATATCGTCCTCCAAAAAATTAAATATCGTTTTAAAAAAAATAATTATCGTCCTCAAAAAAATTAAATATCGTCCTCAAAAAACAAATAATTATCGTCCTCAAATTAATTATCGTCCTCACAAAGTTAATTATAATGTTCTTCAAACACACAGAAAGGTGACCATTACACAGACTAACACACACATGTACAGGACAAAGCAGAAGGTGTTTTTGTTAATATAAACCCGGATTTATGATGTAATTCTACCTGACATTTTTTTTTACTATGGAGGACTGGTTATTGCATCATTAATTACGGGTTATGTTATTATCTCCCTCTACTCTCTACGTGTGTGTGTGTGTGTGTGTGTGTGTGTGTGTGTGTGTTTTCTTTATTCATTCATTATATAAAAAAGTGTAGGTGAATGACATTATATATTTATACACTGTAATAACCAAAATTCATTATTATAGACTCAACCACAAGACAACCAAAACTAACGTTCACACTGACACTCTTTATCAACCATAGTCATTGTTGAGATGGAAACAGTTCATTCATCTCACCACTGCAATATTCACACTGAGGAAGGTACAGTCGCCCCAAAAAAGTATCTTTACGATTCTGTGTGAGACAATATGACTCAACGGACGAAGGATTTTGACAACCCTACCGAGACAACAGGAGTCACAGTGTTCATTGTGGAATTCATCGATCATCTCCGTGAAGATACTTTTTACAGTGACGATATTTTAATTAATCATTATAGTTAACATCCTTATTGCTGTGGCCACACTACTGGGTACCTCATCATTACTCTGGCCACATCTCTCCACTACAGCCTCGTTATTGTGGCCAAACGTTCACTTTTCCACAGCAATCTCATTAAAACATTCATCCTACGGTGGCCACAGTTGACCACATCACCACCCACGTATGGCCAAGTAGAGTCACTTAACTCTGGCCATCTAATAAATACATATGAGTAAAGATTATTAAGTTAATTTAATTAGTTGTTTGCGTTACCTGTCGCGTCAGGTAGAAAAATAATTTAAGATATATTCACTGGAGGTCATAATGGTGAGGGCATAATTAATCTCGTTACTATATTAAGGAATGCGATTAAATATGTCGAGAATTATGTGTTTATCAGACCTGGTATTCCTGCCACATTAATTAACCGACGTGAGGATATTATAATGCTTACCTGTTGTTATGTTCTTTGATAATTTAAGCACCAGTCTGATGTGTTATTATTATTATTATTATTATTATTATTATTATTATTATTATTATTATTATTATTATTATTATTATTATTATTATTATTATTATTGTTGTATATTTTTCACGTATTTTCATTTATTATCTATATTTTAAATTGTCGTATAGTTTAGGTTAGGTTAGGTTAGGTTAGGGCCAATAAGCCATGGGTATTCTAGAGCAGTAACCGATTAATTTATATTCCCTGTACGTGGATAAGAAATATTTCCAATGAAGCCGTTTATGTGTAGTTTAATAGCTCGATAAAGCACGCCAACCGGTTTTTACGAGGTTAATGGAAACCTCTTATACATACTGATTATACGTGAATTAATTTAACCTCTCTCTCTCTCTCTCTCTCTCTCTCTCTCTCTCTGTCTGTCTGTCTGTTTGTCCCTCCGAGAGAGAGAGAGAGAGAGAGAGAGAGAGAGAGACGACCAACCCAGGTAACTACAGTAGCTAGGTCAAGATAGCTGTTGAAGATATGAATGAGATAAAGCTGTGTATGTCTCCCAGATACAAAAATAAATAAATAAATAAAAGGAAGGAAGAATGTTTTTGACGAACTCTACACAATAGAACTGTCTCGGTGGGGTTAAAGGAATTATACAACGTGAACAGAGACGAGCAGTATCTGAGGGTTTACGAAAGAGACACACGACTTGCAATAGATACCTGGACTGGGTCTTTTGTGGAGGAATTCTCTTGATAAGTTAGAACGATCGATTGTGAATACTTACGAGGAAAGAACGTTTGTATTATAGAAGATGGGAAATTATTTTAGCTATTGTAAGACTTTGTTGTGTGTGTGTGTGTGTGTTACATCAAATGCGACATCTGGTTAGATTAAGCCAATGGTTAAGCCCCCCAGCTCCTCACCCCAACCCACCCCCCTCCCCCTCTTCTAACCCCCTGCCCCATCTTCTCAACCCTCCTCCCCATTTTCTCACCCCCTCCCCCTCATCTCACCCCTCCCCATCTTCTCACCCCCTCCCTCATCTTCACCCCTCTTTCTCACCCCTCCCCTCTTCTCAACCCCCCACCCACCAATTTACCCAGGGCAACCAGCCTCTGACTTGCCCTCATCTAGCGGAATCGAACGAAAACTTCTCACCAGCCTCACAGAAATGCCCCGGAGCGTTAACGATGGCAATTATATTTCACATCACGTCTGTCAGGGTGAGGTTACGAGGGGATAATGTACTGGATGAGGTTTACGGCCTCGTGGTCTCTGTCTTATACGTCATTATTAAAGGAAATAGGACGATGTTACAAGCAATAAATCTAGAATTAATTTATCTTTTTGTTAAGTGGATTAATTATTTTGTTGTATAGAGTGTTTGGACGTCTTGTTTTTGCTTGTGTGTTTTAGGAAGTCAAAGATGTCACTTTAAAATGTGAAATAATATGTATGGAGATAATAACAATAACAATAATAACAATAATAATAATAATAATAACAGCAACTCCTCCTCATCTCCTGCCCTAAACACCGCCCTTCCCCCTTTAACTTAAGCCCTAAATCCGGTATCTGACCCTAACTCCTCACCTGAAGGTTGACCTCAGTGCCACACTAAACTTGAACCAAAGCGGTGGTCCAGAGTTTCAGCTTTGGCCTCTGAGCAAACTTATGCCTTGAGGGGTGACTCTGTCAGGTTTGGTCCTGCTACAGTTAAACTCGGCCTGTGTAGTGATGTCCCTCTCTCCCTTCCCTTCCCTCTCCCTCCCCTTCCATTCCCTCTCCCTTCTGTATTTTTAAAGGGGGTAGTGACAGTGATAAATAAGGTTGTTGTATTTAACTAGGGGTCAAAAGTCTGAGAGGGAGGGAGACAGGGCGCCATAGAACTGTCAGTTGCATATCATGTTAGGAAATAAATGGTTGTACAGTATAACTTTAAGCTGTGTGTGTTGAAGTCCTCGTTAGAAAATTCCCTAAACTACTTCATGACTCATTCAATAGTTATAAGTTTGGGGGAAAATAGTTGTGTGTGACCCATTAACTGTTGTCTCCGGTGATGGTCGGACTTTCTATAAGGTCAAAACGTCTTCACATTTCAGGTTTATATTAACTAGTTATATATCGTATCATTTTCATATTTACGTTTGAAAAGTTGTCAGGAAACATTTATCGACTTTTAACTATAGTGAATTAAATTTTCCCTGTCCCTGTGTGTGTATGCAAATTTTGTGCAAGATATATGAATGATAATTGTTAAAACAAGCTCAAAGTCTCTCCAGTCCTGGGATGGTGTTAGTGGCTCCCCCAGGTCTGACGGAGGCACTGTACTCGACCGTCTCCATTTCCTCAACTGTAGAATGAAGTATCAATTCACAGTTGGGTGAATTGAGGGGTACCCGGTGCACGAACCAGCGATCTTTAGGGTGAATGGTGAGTGTTCTGTCCATGCAGCCGCCGCACCCCTAGACAACTCAGGTACACTACTACAAAAATGGCCTCCAGCCTCCCCCAATAGCCATACCTTCGCCACCATTTCATTACCTTAATATTAAATATCCTAATACATAAGTAGCTATCCTAGCTGTGTTGAGTTAGTTGAGCCGCAGATCTATGCGGCATTCAGTGACTGTTGCCTCATAGTCAATATCTGCAACAGTCGACATCTCATCCAGGCTGTAACATAACTTCTGGGCTGCTGCTTCTGTTCGGATATCACCTCCGCGAGTCTGGCGTAGAAGCATCTTGCACTTGGTCCCATCCCACCAGAGGTTTTGAACACTAGAGAAGTAAAGTTGCCTTGATCAACGTTCTGAATTCTCTCCCCGTATGTCCTTAGCTTGTCGTTCTTGTTCCTCCTGTGTGCAGCATCGAGAGCTAGGTTACGGTGACATGCGGCCATGGGATCAAAAATCCTGATGTCGAAGAAAGCTCGCTGTCCCCGCGTCCAGAATCCTCGAGCACTGACGTTAACATGGGCTTCGTTGGATGTGTTTGAAGTCCTACTACTACTACTACTACACTACTACTACTACACTACTACTACTACTACTACTACTACTACTACTACTACTACTAACAGTGAGACTATGAATTCACCACCACCTTTCTCTTCCCTTTCTCCCAAACTTCATACATTAAGTTACTTTCTCTTTGTTTTCTTTTGTTACTTCCGCCTCTGTTTCCCACCACCGACCTGTACCGACCTGCACCGACCTGCCTTCCTGCTCTCTCTTACAAACCTGCCACTTTTACTTTCCTGTTCCATGTTGTTGTTGTCTGCCACTTTCCATCACCGTGTCATAACCTTGTGTCATCTCCTAGTGTCATTTCCCCGTGTCATAACCTATAACCTAGTGTCATTTCCCCGTGTCATAACCTATAACCTAGTGTCATAATGTCATCTCCTCGT